GGTACTATTTGAAACCCTGTAGCCCGGAAACAGATCAAAAAAAAAACTGCCGGGTGCAAAAAAAAAACAGTCCAAAACCGAACAGCATCGCCTCACACTCGCCCACACCCGCGCTGCCTCACCAGCACTCGTCCCAGCCTCCTGGCGAGGAGCGAGCGGCTAACCGCGGGACCCTGGTTGACCAACGAACATGAACAGAATAGACTACGAGGGAGGTGAACATACAAGCGCTGGGGTTTAGTCACCCGGGTTTGCAGAAAGTCACCCGGCCGCATGTAAACGCAGCATCCAAACAATACAATGTTGTTGACCAAACACTCTTCCAGTTATATTGCCATCTTGCATCTAACCCCATTGCAAACGCAGCATCCAGACGACTTTCTACAAGACCAGACGACTTAACACAGGTACTTGTACCACCGATGAGGGGTCCAGTTTGGACCGCCAAAGAACTAGGAAAGGAAAGGAAAAGGAAAGGAAAAGCCTTTAGAAAGTTCACTGAAGAATGTTCACCTGGTCTCCGCAAAAGAGTTCTTTGGTTGGCCAAAGAAGCCGCTCAAAGGAACAAAACCTGATTTATTGGGCGCGCTCTGCCACCCTGCGCTGATCTGCTAACTAACCAACTAGCCAACCCCCTGCGTAGTTTTTGCCAGAACTTGGCCTGGTCAATCTCACAGAAGATGCTCCCCTTGCTCGGCACACCGACCACGGATTCCCCACACCACTTGCAAATCCTCAGGGTCCGAGGCGAGAGCGGAGGAGACCGCCAGGCGCAGAATCGCCCGTGTTGGACCAGGTCCCTGGAGCCAGTCTGGGACCCAGGTGCTTGATCCATCCAAGTCTGCGATCAAAGGAGAAAGGGAAAACGCACCCCAAAACAAGAAAAGAAGAAGTCTCCCGTCCCGTAGACCACCGAGCCGATGAAGCTTGGCCAAGACTCTGCTCGGAGCTGGTGGCGCCACGTCCCGTCACCCAGTGATGCCCACAGCGTTTGCTTGGACAATGAAAGGCCAGCAAGTTGGCCACCTCCTGAGGAATCCGGGGGATGCTCCGAGCGGTGAGGCGAGACAGTTTTCGCAGACGATTCGTTAGCCATGCCACCTCTTTCAGCCACGACACCCCGACCTCGCAGCGCCGCGCTGCGCCCGCCCGCGGCTCTCGGTCCTCCTCCTTCGGCACCGGAGCCGCTCTCCGCACCGCGATGCCCGGCACACGGCGGAACTCCGCGGAAGAAGAAGCCGCGGCGGAACGCGACGGAGCCGCACCTGTTGGGGGGAGGCAATCGACCTGCCCCAGGGGCTCAGCCCAGATTGGGCCGTGGGTCTTGGGCAACCAAGGCTTGGTCGACTCTGCCAAGATTCAGACCATTCTGTTTGGCACATGTTTTCCTGGTCGGCGACGTGGTTGCGATCCTATTTTTCTGATTTCACTGCAAGACTCCAAGCGAGGAAAATACCATGGATGCCAACATTGTTTTTTCCTGGTATGATTCTGACTCATGTGAGCAAATGACTCCGGCCGGCTACAAGGAATTCTTGACCCCGGACGTTCTGCAACTCCAAAGACCCTCTACTTCACCCACCTAAAATCTAAAAGCAACCGATTCTTCGCTCCTCCCAGTTGATCCTTCGATCCGCCGTCGCCTCGTAGGGCCGCCAGCCGCTGCTTCACCTTCTCCGCCGCGCTCAACGGCGCCGCCCCCGCAGCGGGCGGACCGGGGGGCTCGGGCTCGGGTGGCCTGGGCGGGCGAGACCGTCCCGGTCGTCTCGAAAACGGAGCCAGCCAGGCGCACGGTGCATCCTGAGCTTCCCGGCACCGCCAGGCGCCCCAGCACGGGCTTGCGCTCCAGGCCCCGTAGCCCAGCGAAGTCGCGCGCTGAGTGCCATGGCACGGCCATGCCATCCGGATGGAAGAACGTCCCTTTGGCGTCTTTGACAGGAGGGACCTTCTGTCAGGTCACACTGGTTGGTGGGGTTAACTAAAGTGGTGGCAGGTAGGTAGGGGTGTGTATGTGAGTGCGAGTGTGAGTGCATGAAGCAGCAAAGGGCTTGAAACACGGGCAATGAAGGACACGGGCCCACTCTCAACACTGTCGTCTATGTCAATCTTCGCTTGTGCGTCGAGCACTCCACAGGTTAGGTCCACCACCTTTAAAGGCGCGTTTCGTGCGGTTCAGTCAGTAGATTTGCATCAGACTCTGCTTGAAGCACACATTGATGAGAACCCGCCCCAGAAGACAGGCAGAAACCGTGAAAGGAATGGCCAGAAGAGTGTACAGGCGTCTCTCGGAGTGGAGATGCCTGTTGAGATCTCTGCTTCGCATCAAGACCTACCGCCGCAATAGAAACTGTTTCTGGGTGTGTGCAACAATCGGTTGGAGCCTGTTTGTCCAAACCTGCTTGGAAGTTGAATTCTGTCAGAATACTTGAGCCAAAACTTGAGCCAGAAAAAATCACTTGAGCAAAAACTGCGGTACCTGGAGGGAGACTGCGGTAAGAAAGGGAAACTGTTGGACTTGGCATATAATCTGACAAAAAGCTTGCGGTTGCAACCATGCAGGTAGAACCCGTGATTGTACAGGAAGCATACAAATATGTCCATTGTGGAACTTGGAGACCTAGGCAACCGAAGCTGTTCTGAGCGTTCTCTAGAAGCGTGGCGATTCACCTTAGGCCTGAATGTCCTGATTCTGTTGAGGACAAAGAGGCGGAAATAACCCAATGCCAGCACTCCTTTCTTTCGTCTGTTGCTGAATGGTCGCATCATCTCGCAACTCTTCCAGCTGTGAAACAGGATGGACCTTCTTTTTCGGTACAGCTTCCGTTCGATCAAATCGATGGCTCTTTGTCCTCTCCATCTGCCCCGGGGTGCTGCACCGTTCCACAAAAGCGACGGGCCGGTTCCGAGAAGCTCCGAGAAGAAGCTCCGCTCAGCTTCTTCGAGCTGAAGCATCGCAGTTGGGCATCTTGGCCTGGCAAGACGAGGTGTCTGGTTTCCACACGCTAAAAATGGAGAGCGAAGCGAGACACAATATCTAGGTGTCCGGCTGTTTTCTCCAAGGTGAGCTAGAGATAGCTAGAGTCTGGATAGACTTCTGCACTTCCAAGATTCTCCGGGGACATGTTCCGAGCACCACCAAATCTGTCGGGAATTGACTCGGAATTGGCGGCAAAAAGCAGATGTTCGGATCCGGCCATCGAAAAGATCAATTCTATCAGGGTTTCTTTGAACAGAAAGTCCGAGCTCCAATGACTTTAAGAGACAATAAGAGACAAACAGGGCGCGCCATCAATGAAAAACGAAACGCCACTTTCGGGAGGAGAAGCCTTCCCTTTTGTTTTCAACGACGCTCAACGTGCTCAAATCCACGTCCCGTGGCGGAGTCACGCGCCTCACACACCTGCACAGGCCTCGCTGAACGGGCGACCCGGGCGGGGCGGGAAAGACCCGGACGAGCGACCTGAAGCGAATCAACAGCTGTCTCACACATGGCTCTCTGGGAAAACAAGGGCGTGAACCGGCTTCGGAGGTTGGAAGTAGTGGTGAAAATCCACTCAAAAACACACCCCGTAAACCTCTCACGGTTCGATGCTTGCTAAGGTGTCAGAAGGGTGTCCTTCGCCACCTAAAGAACGTCTGTACCGCTATCGGTGGGACCTCATGGAGTACTCATACCCTACGACCGCTAGAGGGGGCAGGGGCACCTCGGGACGGGACTGGTCAAACGACTCCAAGGATTCACTGTACCCGGAGTGCTGAATGGTGTTCAAATGCATGCAACTGATGGGTGCCCAAAATACTTCTAAGAGTTCCTTTTCTCTTGGTTTTGGAGTTCCTGTAACTCCCTTCTACCACTTCCTCACCGCAATGCCTTGCTCTTTACTAGGCCACCTCACTCAGGCGGCTGAAGCCTGGGCGGTTTGGTACAGCTGGGCTGGGCATGTGGGTCTGCGTCAATGTGAACAGGCGTGCTTTCTTTCAGCTAGTGTTTTTTGCAACCGGTCTGGAATTCCTATGATAGGCAAAATCTCTACTCTTAAACCACTACTGGTACCAAATCAGTCAATGTTACGAGGGACAAACAGTGTTGAGAGGGATCAATGACTCTCGGTCACGAGCATGCTGCTTGGTACCAACTGAAGGTCAAGGCCACATCTCATCCAAAACCCATATAGCTCTTTCACAGCCTGGTGTTTCATCCAAGCCGCCCAGTATTCTGACTACCTAGGCATCATCGTCGAAACCTCCGCTCGCCGGACAATCTCTCGCAGCCGTGTAGCATCGCAGTGACCAGAGGCGAGCGTGGCTTGATGTCCCAAATCTCAGGAAGAATGCCTCATGTTTGCACCGCCACCACTCGCATCAAAGGTGCAACCGAACGTCGTTCGAGGAGGGGAGTTTTAGGGACCGGAAGGTTTGGCGGGCCTGGCAAAGTGTCCAGGAAAGTTAGGTGTGGGCAACTCTAATACAAAACACGGGCATGCCCCTCCTTGGCCCCTTGTTCTCCAAAACGTCTCAAAATGAAACGCCTCAACATGCGCATCTTGCACCCAGAAACTGAGCTCCAAAGGCAATGCGAACGGAAGAACCGGCCTCACAGTGACCGGCCGCGGCAGTTTCCGGGTTCATCCCATGTTTGTCGCCCCTCGGTGTCGAGGGTCATTTGTCTTCCGCTTCCAACCGGCCGGGGTGCCTCCGAACTCATGCTTCCGCGGCATCTCGAGGATCAGCAGATCCTGAGCGGAGCGCTTTGGCCGAGGGCAGAACGACCCAACATGACCAAAACGGCAAAAGCGTTTGGCGCCTTGAGGCTTAAAACGTCATACCCACCGTGAGTTCATGCACTATACCCACTTATCCCACTACTTCCATCACTAGTCCTATCACTCGCGGGTACCGCTACCCGCTCTACTCCGCAAGTCTGTCGTCTCTGGAAGAGCATCTCCACTGAGTCCATCACTAGATGCATGTACTTCAGCTGCAACCTCCACAAATGTCGACAGCTTTCGCAGTTCACAACATCCAATGATTTCTGCCAAATCAATGATTTTTTACGGCGGAAACTCCCACCATCCTTGATTCATCTCATAAGTTTTTTACTGGACAGGCCATTCTGATGTACACTGCAAGAGCCAAGTCGTCGGGAACCGTGTCCCGCGCGAAGCGCGGCCTCGGATCGTCGGGGAACTCGTTGCCCGCGTGAGCCGCCACGATCAAGAAGACCTCGGGTCAGCGTGAGACGCGTCGTGCGTCGCGGGTCTCGGGGGTGCCTTCACCGAGAACCGTGGTGTCCGTGCCCAGCCGAAGTCCTGCGCTCAAAGCCCAAAAGCTGGGAGGCATGGAAAACCTACGAAAAAAAAAAAAAAAAAGATAAAAAAGGCTGGAAACCCAGCGGAAGGTGTCTCTTTTCCTCAATCAGAAGCCGGGCACCACAGAAGTTTCCGAAACCTCGAGCCTGCAGATCGGATCCAAACCATGCGAGTTGGACCGAGCGATACGGACAGAGCTTGGACCGCTGGGGCGACCTTTGCCACACGCGTGTATCGCTGGTGAGGGAACGAGTAGACCCATCGCATGCGATGGTAAAGCAAACAAAGCTTCAACTCAGCTTGGATACCATTCCCAACAAGGAGGATGAAAGACAGTTCCAAGGAATTTTGGAATACCGATACCAAACATGTCTCGTTTGGTTGAGGCGAATGCCGCGGGCTTTTCGCATGTCACCAACGTGTCAAAACAATGTTACCCTTCCCATGCTAATCGAAGGCCATCTTTAAAACATGTTAAAACTTACAATAACCATCTAACTGACCCCGGTGGGGCGGGGTCAAAAAGAACCTGTTCCATGGGTTAAAAAAAACCTGCGTAGAGATGGAAGCAACCAGTCTTTCATCCACCTGTCTCAACAAGAGTCCTATCTAAACTCTAAACTGCGCCACCAAAACATCCAGGAGGCCAAGCACACACAGTGGGACGCCGGCGGACGGTGTGTGGGGAAGACGAAGATCAGCCCTCCACCCGGATTCAAATGACTCAAAATGGAAAGTCATGAAGAGTGTCATGAAGTGGTCTTGATATATTTCAGTACAGGATGCAAAAAAGGATCCTGATATGTGTTGTCTCATTCTTCATTCCCGAAGGCTTCCTCTCTCTTTTTCTGCCTTCCAAGCATCAATCGATGGAGTTTCGACGTGGATGTACTCCGTCTTGGCAGAGGCCAGCAGCGGGCGGTCCTCCGGCACGAGCGTCCGGGGACGAGCGTCTTCATCCACTCGAATGAACAATGCGTTCAACGAGTTCCACAAGGGTCAGAGAAATGAGAACCTACCACTCTACTTTCAGAGGACAAGCTCCAAGTGAAAATATGTTTCAGATACTTGGCCTACTGGGGCATTCCTTCGATATGTTTCAATATCTCGTTGGCAGCATTCAATTTGTGCCAGAAAAGGTCTCCTGCTTTCGGCAGTCAATGGCAAAGCGCACAGACTCGCCTCATCCGTAACGGGCACACGCGGATCAGTTTTGATCGTTCAACTGGGCAGTTCTGCCTTGCCGAGACCTGGTCCATGTTGAACAACTAACTCTGATTTGTTTGTTCAACCATCCAACTCTAGTTAGACTGAAGTTAGTTGTTCTAGTTGTTCTAACAACCATCACATGCAAGAGTTGGACTAACTAGCATGTGATCTACCAACCCAAAAATGACTTCCACCCACCCACCGACGTCCGACGTCCGACGTTTTTGCGAAAAAAAAAAACCGCCTGCGGTGAACTCCATGGGGCGACCTGGGCGGAGGTCGAAGCGGAAGGATCGGTGGGAGGGATGGGCGGATGGGCGGAAGAGAGCGAAGGCACCGGGAGCGAAGGTGATCTTCTTTGGGGAAGGAGTGGGGAAGGGCTGACTCAAGGGGCATGGAAGGTTGGCATGGAAGGGCACTGGTAGCAACATGACGTGAAATGAACGAAAGAAAGCTTTGGTCTTCAGACTTTGAGGAGAACTCCCAATCCTGCTTGTGACCGTGTGACCTGTTTTCCGACCAGTCTGAAGTCTGAAAACATGAACTAAAGAATCATCCCTAATTATCCTCGTTGTGAGGTAGAATTCATGAGCCCATGCAAGGTAGTTCATTGGTGATCCCAACCGAAGGCTGCTGGAAAGTGAGCTTGAGCACAGTTCTGACTGTACACACATTCAGCCAGAAAGCATCACAGATCCTCTTTCTTTGGGAACCTGGTGTCGCCTGTGTTGACCCCACTCTCCTTCCAGGGCCCAAGCGCTGCACTTCGCGCAGGGCCGACTTCGATCTGCCTTAGGAGCATGCCACCAATGAAAATTCCCACCCTCCCTGGCTGGTCGATGGATCATGTCACTTCGACTTCTTCCCCGTTCCGCTGATGCACTTTGAGAGCATTCCCATGGTATTCCAGTATTCTCCACAATTAAATTCTGGATGATTTTGGCACTGGGGGAATCCTTGGGAGCAAGGACCTGAAATCGGAAGTTCCCCACGGGAAGAGAGCTTCCGCCACCAGAAAAAGACGTATATTAAATATCTTGTATATTGTACAATAATGTACAATACGTATATTCTATTGCTTGGGAAGAGAAGAACCAAAACGCCTGCACCGGGGCAGTTTAAAAAACAAAAGCAAACCTACAAAACCCCTTGTCACTTCCCATCCACAGCTGCCGGCACCAGAGTCTCCGCGCCCAGGAAGACGTCCATCGACTCCATCCGCCGCGAGGCACAGCGCCTGAACCGGGTGAACCGGAACCGGGGAAGCGGACGGTGTATTGGGTTTGAACAAACGAACGAATGTCGAACCGGGTGACTGTAGAGTTGTCTGGGTTCTTTTTGAGGTGTTCTGTTACTGTTTTCTCCTGGTTTCCTGGTTTCTTCAGCATTCCCCCAACAATGGAGCCCTTCGAACTAAGATCTGTGAAGCAGGAAAAGAATCGGCTGACAAAACCGGCAAAGGCATGGGTGGACTGCCGACCACCCACCTTGGTTTGACCCCAAGATGTATCCTGCCATAGCAGAATGCCTCACCTTAAGTCTATCTCACCCTTCATCAACTCAAGCTCCAAAGCTCCAGCCCCACTTGACTCCCACCCCTTCGGTTCGGTTCGGTTTCGGTTTGGTGAAAAAGGAGCTCCCAATCGGCTGATGAGCTGCCCGCTGCCGAGCCACGTGCCACTGGTCTGGTTCGAGGTGGGTCTCTTGACGTTCACCTCACTGGTGGAAGGACATGTTCCTAAGCCTCCATCATGAGGAAGTCTGTATCCCAGAGAAAACAAGCCATTCCAAACCGTCCCATCATGAAGGGTGCTCTTCGTTCAAGCTCTTGCAATCCAAGCCATCTTAGCACCTGTCCACTGATGCGCAAGAACCCAGCCTCAACCACTGGAGCCTGATCAGACAGGACCACCCGGAAGTTTCCGAACCATTGTTGATCCGGCTTCACTCCTTCCAGGCTTCACTCTTCGCTCGGAAACGCAGACCTCGCCCGGATGACCTCATGGACCTCTGAATACGAACACAACAACCGCATACTGCTCAAAATGAGTGAGTGAGTGCCTGGGTGCGACTTGAACGACGAACACTGCCTGGGTGCCTAGGAATCATCACCTACCATCCTTTCAGGGGACATGCTGCCACATGGTTCCTCTGAGGCGAAGCTGAAGACTGGGATAGATTGGGATCACTCCGGCAACAGCAAGCACCGAAAAAATCAGAGAGAAGCCTGGAAGCCCCATCTATCTTCCACATCTCTTCTTTCCAATCATCTTTTGCTAGTTGGTTGGAGGCCCTTCTAGCTTGGAGGACATCGCTATTAGGTTCTTCTTTCCACATCTATCTATTCTTCCCAGTACAATTCAACAGCTTACAGCTTTTGACCGCTCAGCTCTTGAGACTCAGTTTGAGCTGATAGCAGTGCATCAAGAGTAAGTCCGTGAACGCAGCACCTTCGTTGCGTGGAACGTCTCTCTCCTGGGAAGACTGTACCAAAGACCTTCACTTCGTTGGTCTCCAGCAACATGAACTCCTGGCAGCTTCAGCGCAAACGCCCCGTTCACAGAGAGTTTCTGAGTTCGGCTGAGTTCGATGGTGTGCTTTTTCGCCCTGGGTTCCACGGGTCAGCTTTGGTCACGAAGGTCAGCTTTAGTTCCAGAAAAGTGGTTAGAAGTGACGAATTCCTGGCTGGGGCCGGATGCCAACAGAAGGGGGCACGTGCGGCACGTGGCTGGCAAGTGAAGAAAGTGCTGCCCCATTTGGTCAATCGAGGACTTGAGCATGAAGCGTCACTGGATGGACATGCGTGTGTTTTATTTCCCTAGCCTCTAAGGCTGGAGTGGATCCTACCACAGGTTGATGTGGGGCAAACCATGGGGAGCACCAGCCTGGGTCTTTGGACATCTCTCACTGCCCAGTTCAGGTCGTGGCACTGCCACGGCTTCACCCACACCGAGAGTCCGAGAGAAACCGGTGTCACACGAGTTCCGGTGTCAAGCCGTGGCAGTTGCCGGTGATTCTCGAGGCGGATTCTCGTGGCCTGGTGATTCGGTAGCCAGAACTTGTACTTCTGACCGCCTGAGGCTGGACTTTTCAACGTGAAACGATGAAAAACCCTCCACCTGTAGAGCTGGGCTTCACCGTTGGAGCCAAAGGTCTGAAGACTGCTCTTGAAGGAAGAAGCTTCATCTTTGATGTTGAAAGAGTTGCGCAACTGTTGAGCCCCTCGAAGTCCAACAAACCATGTCTAGAGCCTCCCCAGAACTGTGTGACTTCAGGTTAGCTCACCGCTCACCCAATCAAAGTTCATCCAAACCCAGCCGATACTGACCGGTTAAGCTGAATTCATCTCAGTTAAACCCGAAAAAAGAAGAACTCTCTAACAAACAGAGTCTAAATAAGTAAGTCTATTGTGTCAAACCCAGTGCAAATGCTCTATGGCCCAATCCGGCTGCAGAATCTAGCCGCGCCACCGTGGAACGTAATGGGATCGCCTGAGAACACGGCGAACGTGCGGGCCCCTGTGTAAAAAGGACAACATTGGGGAGCAACTGGTGGAATGTCTCCTTCCAACGAAACTGTGAGTCACGGTACCTGGAACTGTGCTATACATCGATCGATCTCTAAAAGTCACTACATGGCACACCGCATGTCGCCGCAGGTCGCCGCAGGTCGCCGCAGCGTCGTTGCTCGGTCCGTGTCGCTTCCCACGTAGTTCTCTGCCGGCCCCAGGTTCGAGATCGAATCGCCCGCCACGTAGTCTTGGGAGATGGGAGGCGTCACCTCCACAGAGAGAGGGGGCGAAGGCCTTGGGAGAGCCAGTGTTTTCAGCACCAGAATAGCTTCCCAGATCGGTGATTTTTCGAGATCCCAGCGTCTTCACAGTGACACCACCCCGTCCAACTCCTCCAGTTTTGGCACATCTTCCTTCACTGTTGGCCTTTCTCTGCGTTGCGGCACCCAAACGCACCAAACCACCCAAACCGCTCGTCCTCACCGCTCGTCCTCACCGCGCGAGCGAGTCCGCGGCCCGCACCTCCAGGTAGGCCACGGTGGCCAGGCGCCGTCCTCCCTCGAGGCGCCGGACCCCCACTTCGGTGATGTTCTCGATCTTGACCTGGTCGCTGGTGACCGGAACAAGGAGGAGGAGGAGGAGGGACACCCCCCCGAAAAACCCACCAAAGGGGCCGTGTGTCCCTTTTGTGTGCTTTTGGGCCAAGAAAGAGAGGTGAGATGATTTGACGTTTGTCTCATTTAAAGTTTCGAAGGCTGCAACAAAAACACCAAGAATCGGCTCGCTCTTGCAAGACAGGGCATGGAATCTTGATTTGTCCAGCGGCCCACCAGGTGAATCCCCAGCAAGGATTGAGAATCGCTTGTATCAAACTCATATAGTAAGTGAAGAGGAAGAAAGCACATGAAAGCATCCTTGTAGCGACACCCACCATGAACTCAGGCCTACATCAACTTGCCTTCGACCTTCACGGGGTCTCCAGGTGTAGACTACCAGCAAGCATTGCTACGAGGCCCGAGCGGCCCGAGGGACCGGTGGGGCTGAGGACCGGACCACGTCACGCTTGATCTTGATCATGTCACCTCGAGAGGTGCCGGTGCTGCGAAGGAAGAAGGAGGGCGAACGTCTGGGTGAGTTCCTCTCCTGTAACCTACGGAGGTGTGTGCTTCTTTTTTTCAGCTCAAACCCTACTATACATGTCTTCACATCTGCCCTTCGCTTTTTCATGATTCCACCTGCACAAAGCGGCCACCAAACATCAGATCACACCAAGGTCTGATGAACAGGTGACATTCCAAGCATCATGTTATCCACCACGGATCTTCTTGCTAGTACCCACCAAACTTGGATGCCATCGCTATAGTAGATTGGAGGCCATTGCTCTTAGGTTGGAGGCCATCGCTCCGCTATTAGGCCATCACTTAGTATGTGTTTTACTTATTTTTTGAACTTTTCTAAAGACCGCGGGAACTTGGATGAGAAACACTGCATGTCCCGGTCCAACCTAGGTGACCGCTCAACGACGCTCGCCTCCTCCTCCCCCAAAAAGAAGGTAAAATGGGGGTTCTGGGGAGTTCTTGTTGATCAACCACCTCGTTTATTTTTTGTGCCTCGCTAAAATTTGTGTTGAGGCTTTGTCGTTATTCTCTATGGGGGTTCTGGGGAAATTTTGGTGCTAAAAATCACTCTGTTCGGTGATAATGGATGAGGTTAAGATTTGTTTAGGTTCGTTTGTTTTGTTGTTTGGCGCCCTGGGTTTAAAGGATTAGTTCATAATATGCTTAATTAAGATATTATGAATTATTCGTGCTTGTGCTGTCCATTGACCTATTCCATCCCAGTAGTGTTCAACCAACCTCGCTAATGGCAATTTGACCATATTTTTTGTTTTTATCATCGTTGTTGTAGTTGTGCTGAATGAGTTCATCTAAAATCATCCAACATCTCGCCATATCCCGCATTCCATCTTTTGAATGAAGTTCTCTACCCCATTCTTTAACAATATCTTCATCTAAAAATATGTTCATAAATCTTTTTGACAAACCTGTAATCATGACTACTACCAAGAGGTGCTATACCGCCACACTGTTTAGACATTTCTATAGCCACTTTTAATTGAGATTTTGAAAATGCTTCACTTGTAGCACTGTCTGGGAATGGGTTGTTTTGATAAAGTATGCTATTTCTTTATTTTCTTGTTCCATTGTCATATCTTCTCTTAATATATATAGTTAGTTTTTCTTTAAGTGTTTATATTTATTTTTGTAGGTGCTCTTCTATTTCTGTTTCGTCTATGTAGTGCTCATAGTATCTAAAAAGTTCTTTGAGATATTCACGCAAGAAGATTTCCAAAATGTTTTTTACTAAGTATCCACGGTGTCTGAAGTCATAAATCGCTCCATTCTCTGGCAACCACCAAGCTTCTATCTTTCTCATATAAGTCATAAATTCAAGGTCGTTAAAGTTTTTGAGGATGTGATAGGTACATTTCCAGTTCTTCTTTACATATGATTTGATTGCTTGTAGATATAGTTTATTGTGCTGAAACTCCATCTTCAGTGCCAGTGTGTCCATCAACACGTCTATCTCCCTTCTCATCTGTCTCACGTTTGTTTTGTTAGTGTTGCTTAAAAAGATGGATGATGGCATCTCTGTTTGGAAGAAATGTATTTGTCTTCCCGTTGTTGTTAGTGGTTCAGTGTGCTTTAGGTAATGGGGTATTCTGTTTGATGGGTGTTCTTCCTTTATGTATTCGTTTTCCTTGAAGATTAAGTTATTACAATTGAAACAGTGGGTGTTGTAATCACATATCATATCACAAATTCCCGCGGGGAAAATGTTGTTCAATAGAACCTTGACGTTGGCACTTTCAGTTTTACAACATCGACAGTTTCCAGAAGTAAATAGCATCTCTTAATATATATATATATAGGCAATTTTTCTTTAAGTAGTTTTTGGTGGCTGGTTCATTTTTCGGGTTCTGGTTGGTTTTCCTTTTTCCTTTCCTCATCTTCCAATTCTTTTATCACCATATCAATTTCGTGTAGTCCTTCGTTTGCCTTTCTTCCATTCGCCAAGTTCCTCAACCTCTCAAGGTCTTTTACGCCTTTCCTCTCATCGGGTGGTAGGCTTTTGAGGTGTTCCTTCATCTCTTTCAAGTCAAAGTATGTATCCTCCTCTTCATCATCACTGACATTGTTTTCAAAAAACATTCTCATTCTCACCTTTTCCATCTCTAAAAGTGTGTCTTCCATAGTCTGGAAATTCATTTGTCTCTTTCCACACTTCCCGCACATATTCACGAAGGTCTTTAACAAATAAGTCCAGTTCGGTTCTTTCCATTCATTCAAGGAAATAACTTCAGTCATTATCCGACATCCACAGTAAATTTTGGTCATCTTTACTTTCTTACTTTTAAATATATCATGTGTTCTTTAAGTATAGTGTTTATTCTTTAAGAACATTTTAAAATCTAAAACTATAATAATGGCAAGAAGATTAACAAAAGAACAGATAATAAGCAATGTCTATTACGACTTGGAAAAGAGCTTCGGGTCAATCCAAGACACCCTAAAACAAGCAAAAGAACAAGACCCATCCATAACGAGGGTAGATGTAGAAACTTTTATTTAAAAAACAGCCCAACAAACAGATTATATAGAGGTTATACAGGTTCAAACTCATACACCGCTCCGTTCTCAAGGTTTGAGTACCAAATTGACATAATGCATATGAAGCATTTAACCAAAGTTCCGGAGGCAAAAATACCAATGAAGAATTCCGAGCCACCCTATGCTTTAGTCGTTATAGATATTTTTAGTAAGATAGGCGACGTCGTGCCTATGAAGCAGAGAGACGGAGAAACGGTCTTACCAGCGTTGAAGCAAAGTTTTAAGAAGATGGGTCTTCCAATGAGTATATATTCCGATGATGACGGAGCATTTCCAACAGTAGTCTCAAAGTTCTTTAAAGACGAAGCCATCAATCACATCATCACAAGAACACACGCTAATGTCCTGGAACGTTTCATCAGGACACTTAAAAATATGATACACGACAGGGTCAGATTTAATAAGGCGGGATGGACGAGTATGCTTACACTCGTCTTGAAGAAATACAACAGCACCAAACACTCATCCACGAAACTCACACCCAATGAAGCCCACGACGACAAGAACCATATGGATGTAAAGGTAAATCTGACAAGAAGAGAAAAGAACACGAGGAAGTATGAGGAGATTAAAGAAAACGATACAGTCAAAATCTTCACCAAAGGAAGAGGCAACTACACCGACAGGAAAGAATACAATAGCAAATGGTCTAAAGAAAACTACAAAGTGAGAAAGATAGAATACGACCCGACGGGAAACAGAACCTTTCAACTGGAGGGATTGACTAAACCCTTCCTTCGCCACGAGATACTAAAGGTTTGATATTATCTCATAAACCAAACTTTCGGGTAGTCTCTGTGCGGTCCCTTTGTGTCTGATTCCTATTATGCTACTACAGTCTTTTTTACATAAGGGTCTGGGTTTCCAACTCTTAGATTAGTCCATAATCTGGTGCGCTTCCTATATTCAAAACCATATTTACAATAATCAACATCATAGTAATCAAAATCGTTCATAAAGTCCTGTTCCTTCAAAAGTCCCGTCTGTGGATGTTCTATGAAAAATATTCTCGGTTGAAAGTAGTTAATGATTTCAATAGTGTTCTTAACAATGCTATTGGCATAATCTATGTGTCTAACTCCTGTCGTTTTTGCTCTGCTATATTCAGTGCAAGGAGGCGATGCCCAAATTATATCAAAGTCTTTGTCATACTTTGTATAATCCCATTGTAGTATATCTTCATTGATGTGAGCGTTCTTCGAATCTAACGATATGACACTAAGACCGAACTCACGAGCAACTCTACCAACACTGCCCGTTCCACTAAATAACTCCAATAGTTTCATATTAAAACTCTATAAATATACTTCCCCTCTTTTCATCTTTAAAGATTTGGTAGTATTCAAGCGTCTGCTCTTTGGGTTGAGTGATTTTACCTTTGTTAATCCACTCCAAGTATTGTTTCCTCTTCTCATCCCACGAACCGACGGGTCTTCCTATCTGTCTCTTTTCAAAGATTTTATCAATCCTTTCCTTATTATCATCCTTCTTCTCCTCCTTTTTAGGTTCAGTGAGTTTCTCCTCAATGGTCTTCAAAGTCTCCATTTTCGTTTTGATGTTCTTATTACACCTGCTTAGTTTGTTTGTCAGTTCTGCCAGTTTATCCGTGTTCTCATCCATATCACTCATATACTTACTTATATATTTATTTATATAATTATGTATTTAAATATATAGATATTTATTTATCAAATCTGTCCCGTCAAAATATACTCTTTAAAACCTTTATTTTAATCCAAATCTTGTATAGATGATTGCTTTTCTCACTTCTTGGTGTTGAATTCATTACATCTGCAATCATCCGATTGGTGCTTTCCTTGTCTTTGTCTTCTGGTGTGATTTGTCTGTTCCAACTAAACGATATACTATGTGCTTCACTGTCTAGTTTGATGTCTCCGTTGTCATCCCTGCTGACGTTCATAGTCTTATCACTTTTTGATATTTTGAAGGAACACGGATTACAACTACACTTTATCCCTTTAGGGTTGATTTCTATTGTGTTGTGGTTTTCCGTGGCATAAAGGACAGTCAAAGGTGATAAACTTGCTCTTCAGTTTCTGCTCTTCATCTAGTTTTATCATTGTTGGTTCTTCATCCGATAGTTCAAAATCTTCGGGTATGGATGTTTTATTCATCTTTGGATTTGCTTTTTTGCGAGGCATGTATATTAACTTTTAGATATGTAATTACTAATTTTGATACTTCAAGCGTGTATTTACAACAGTGTTGTATTTTCTAGTCTTTGACAACGGGGTATTTGTCATCATCAGTAATTCTATTTTCCATATCATCTATTGCCGTTATGTAAGCGTCGTATTCAGAAAGCGTCATACTATATATGTATTTAGTTTTTTAACTATAATTAGATATTACAATAGCAAAATCTAATTATAGTGCTTTGGGGGGAACACTGTATATGAATTCAACTTGGCAAGCGTCAGACACTGGGTGGGGCAAGTCCATCGCAAATCAAACTAATTAGCGACTTATGCGGATTGAAGCGAACTGTCCCTAAATGGTTTCCTTCAATAATAATATAGACATTTTATGTTCTATATATGTGTCATATCGTTCAATGGTAAATATTAAAGCCCTATAAGCACAAGGAATACAGCAGTAAGCAGTCAAAGTATTGTTATATGGCACCGCTTCCAGCGAGAATTCTATTGAACGCTCCTTCAGGAACGGGTAAGACAGTAGCACTAACAAATTTGATAATGGACATCTACAAAGACTGGTTTGAAAAGATATACATATTTTCGCCCACCGTCTTTATAGATGACACTTGGACGGTTGTAAAGAAATACATTGAAAACGAGATGGATATAAAACACTCTGATGAAGACCCCATCTACTTTGACAACTTTGAGGAGAAAGACCTAAAGAACATCATAGACACTCAGGAGGGAATAATAAAGTATATGAAGGAGAAGGAATACAAGCACCTATACAACATCTGTATCATCATAGACGACTGGGCGGACAATGAACGGGTGGTCAGAAAGAACAAGGAACTAATCAAACTCTTCACTAAAGGGAGGCATTGGTATATCTCTACCTTCATCACTTCACAGTCACACCAGTGGTAAAAAAGAATGCTACACAACTCTTCAAAAGGACTTGGAGGCAATATTGGATGAGTTAAGCGGTCTGTATGATAAGAAGACCTTAGACAAGATATACAGGATTGCAACGGATGACTGATGACAGACACGGTTTCCTATATGTTGATTTAATGCAATCGGATAAGACCAAGATGTTCTACAAAGACCTCAACAAGCAAATAGTAGTCAATCAAAATTGAATTGATAAACACGCCCTATGTCTTCAATAAAAGTAAAAGCAGAAGAAGAACCAAAAGAAGAAGAAAAACCCAAAGAAGCCCAAGTGATGACCAAAACCGATATGAACAAGTTGAAGCAGAAGAACTACTCCACCAGAAACCAACGCAATGAAACGGTCTTCTGCGCTGACTGTAACAAGTATATATCGCTACAATCACCTATGCAAACCACTTCAAGAGAAGAAACAACAAAAGGCAATGGTGAAGACCGCCATTGATGCGGAACAATTGAAAGCGGACATTATGAAACAGTTGAAGGAAGAACTACAGAACGAGCACAAGACCGCGAGGGAGAAGTATGCCACAATCAAAGAAGAGAAGAACACCCAAAAAGGACAATACATCGGTTCAGTCAATTTGTGCCAAACTGGCTTTGGATTGAAGGATGCTTGATATGCAAAACCAAACAGGAACCACAGCGCCTAACCTCAATCAATACATGAATTTGAAGCAAATAATTCGACATCTTTGAAGAACAGCTTGGTAGAATTTGAACCTGAACCTACACATAGAAACTCCGACCACCTCAACAATTATCCCCTTCATTCAATCCAAACAATGAAGTGAAAGTTATGACCCTAAAACACGCATAACAAGACCCCAGAAAAACGACAAAGGCTCAACACAAATGTTCAAGAGCTAAGACAATTCAACGAGGTGGTTGATAAACAAGAACTCCCCAGAACCCCCCATTTTGACCCTTTTCTTTTCCCCCCACACCGGCTCCCTGTGCCACCAAGGCTCCCTCGGAGAAGCCCGTGCGGTCCGACACCGGGATCCGGTTCTCGCCGGCTAACCTCGGTGAAGACGGCAGGCTCCGTTGGAGTCTTCAGGCTCTTCAGTCTCAGGTGAAGGTGAGAAAGCTCGGTTCGGTCTCTCCTTTCTAGTAGCGAACATTGTTACTACTAGTAAGGCACCTGTTACTACTAGCGTGGCACTTGTTCCTAGTAGCGTGGCACTTGTTACTATTCCTATCCTTCGATCTCGTTTCATCCCAATCGAACCGAAAGACCACTTCCACCCGATTCTCAGCTGCCGCACACATTCTCCGAGATCAGCGTCACGGCCCCAGACGTCACCTCAACCCGCAGGTTCAACCCGGCGGCGCGGCCCGTGGGCGGTTCTGTTCGCGCGTGTTCGGGGCGCCCGGGCCGTGGTGGTGGTGCTGGTGTAGCTGGTGCTCGTAGCGCCTCCAGTCTGGGGAGTTCGAAGGGGGGTCTTCCATCTTCCACATCACACATGACCTCGTATCAAATTCCTGCAACGAAGCCATACTCGTCCAAACTCCTGGACTGGCATCCCCAACCATCCACCCTTCCAGTCACCCAGCCACGGTCCACACAAACCCACCAAGCCACTCTGAGTCACCGAGGTCGAGGTCGTGGTCACCGAGGACGACGTCACCGAGGTCTGCGTGGTAAGCGTCGTGGTCACGCTCGTGCTGGTGCCCGTCAGCGTGGTCTCCGTCGTCACCGTGGTCTGCAGCGGGGGCCCGGGGTGGCGGCGCGGACCGTCCGGGAGGAAGGGGGCGTCACCCGGTCCGCTGGCGTCGTGAAGAAGATCGGAGACTCCAAACTCGCAGGTGGAAGAACCCGATGGCATCCGAGGACTCGTTTTCACGCGACACCGGACAGAGTTCATCTTGGGATCCTTTGGTGGGTGAAGTGCACCTAGGAGAAAGTTTGTTCGTGTGGCGCTTGAAAGAAGCAGCTTTGCTTGAAACCAATGAAGGATATCACTTTTTATAGCCTGAAGCCAAATTGCTCCCTACAAGGTATCCCTTCACAAACATGGAAGATGTGTTTGTTCACCTCGAACCAGAGATTTCCGGTGATGTCCCCCTCTCATGCTGAATGAAAACGTTCAGACTCAGAAAACACATGCGGAAAATTCACAGCTCGCGTTCGCATTCGAACAAGCCCAGAAGAGAGATCAGATACGTTCGGAGGCACCGGCCGGACGACAGCCGCGACATCCGCGACAGCCGCGACCGTGCCACGGTTTGCGACGCGGAGGTCTCCGGTTTTGCGACGCGGCGCGGAGCTCCGGGTGCCCCCCACGGAGCTGGTGGTCATGCTGGTGGAGCTGGTGGTCGCCGTCAGGGTGGTGACGCTGGTACTCGTGGTCGTCTCGGTCACACTGGTCGCGGTGGTGGTCGCCTCACAGGTGGGACGTAGGTACACGTCCCTGTCATCAAATGCAAAACACGTGGAGTTCACCACAACCCTGTCGTCTTCGGAACGGTCCGGACGATCGTTTTCGACCTCCTGGGGGGGGTAGAAACGACACGGCCAAGCACCAACAGTGGTGACTTCTATCAGTAATCTCTGGGAGTCGACCGAGTTCAGGACGTTCCTTGACTTCCGTCGGTCCAAAAATATATATAGTCAAACTGGACCGACCCGTCACTTCTATCAGTGATCAGTGATGAATAGGGAGACCTCCTGGGAGACACCCCCTGAGACGCCCCAGGAGTAGACTGGGTCGAACTGTCCCTTCCTTCGAGCCGAACTGCGGCTTTTTCAAAAAAAGCCGGTGACCAGTGAGGCAGTAATACTGTAAGAACAAACGAACTCATACAATACATCTGTAAGTAATACTGTAAAAGAGAATGAATTCAACTACATAGTACTTTCTGATGGTCTCAATAGTGAAAAAAAAGGCAGTGGGTCACAACATCGCCACAGGTCTGTCGTTTTCGTCTGAAGCTGACTTTCTGGGACCCGGACATGCACCGTCACCCCGATGCACCGTTTCACTTGACGTCTTCAGTCGGCCACATCGGATCAATCTTCAACAGGGGACAAGTCGCAGCCACCAGGTGTCGCCCTCAAATTCCACGGTTTCGCCCTGCTCTCAGTCCAAGGCACACTAGTGGTCACCACAGTTGTTGTGGCCTCGGCACGTTTGGCCCTGCTCTCGTCTCAACCACATGGAAGTTCGAACGTTCGGAACCAGCCCCCCCATGTTGCAGACTTTCCTTTTTTCGCGGACTGAGGCGCAAAAGCTACCGAGACAGGAGACACAAAAATGTGTGTACCTATAAGCCTTACAGACCCCAAAAGATCGTTCCTGGTCTTTCCACCAATTAAGCAGTTGTCGAGGCTGGGTCCCCGGTATTGTAAAAACCAACCAACCGCCTATGTGGGCTGTTTAGAACCACCGTGACGGTGGTCTGTCGCGGTAGCGGCGGTCCAAACCTTCAGAACCATGGCGGTTTGCTACTCCAGAACATGTGCTACGGGGCGGTACCAAGAGAGCCAGCCTCCCCTGATATGATCTTGAGACCTCCCGTTGGAATGGATATCCCACCTCATAGGGGTGGCTAAGGCCACCCAGATCCACCCGCTGGTTCCACTTTCCCCGGCAACAACCACCAACTTGGGCCCCGAGAGCCGTTATGCTTGTCGTCCTTGGCACAGCTCAGCTCACGCTGCGACAGCTTTGCACAGGAAAGGGTTTGGCGGATTCAAGTTTAGAAGGGCGAAGCGTCGGACTGTTCGCAAGTTGGTTTTGGTATCTATATATAGCCACTTTTCTGGTGCTGCAAACAGCTGCAACGCACGATGTATGTCTCAACTTCCAAAAAAGGTCAAGTTGGCGGTCCTTCTTTGGGCCAACAACCAAGGGGCTAGTCATGGAAGTGGATGGCATGGCTCTACAAACAGGGGTCAACTCCACAAAATCATGTTTGTTGCAGGGAGAAGAGACATCTACCAATCATCGAAACTGCTCGTGGGACCTCCAGGAATTGGCTTGGCCAATGCCCAGATGGATCCACATGGCACGTGGCCAGCCCCAGTTTGGTGGACCAGCCAATCGCTGCGCAGATAGAAGGAAACCGAAAGGAAACCGACCGCGACGTCGAGTCAGGTCAGTCGAGATTCTTTAAGAAGTTCTGGACCCCTGAGTCTTGGCCGGGCCAACCCTTTTGTCACATAAAGAAGCTTGAATCAAGCACACCCAGCAACCCTCAAAAAGGAGAACCCAAGTTGGATCTCACAAACAATTTCCCAGATTGAACATTGAACAGATAAAACCAAAGCCAACTCTTCAACTGGCCAGGCGATCAGGCGATCAGGTCGGATCGTTCCCATCTTTCTGTGCCACACCACACCCTTCGCCCCTTTCGCGGCCGAAGGGGAACCTCAAATCTCTCTCTTTAGCCAGAAAGCGAGCTGGTGGTGAGGGTGGTCTCTGTGGTGATGGTCGAGGTCTGGGTTGTGGAAGAGGTGATGGATGTGATACTGGTGGTGGTTTCCGTCGTGGCGGTGGAGGTGGTCGTGGTGGGCACCTCGGGTTGGCGCTTGCTGTGAAAACCCATCCGAGACGACAAAGCCGAGTGGGGAAGTGCATGTTCGTCGTGTTCGTGGATTGAAGACTGTACACATCCTTGCTTTGACTACTGTAGCTGAATGTTGGTTGAATCAGGGTCCTGCAGCTGGCCTACTCTCACCCTGACATTGCGAAGAAAGAGCAAGCAACACTGGAGGCCTACTCCCCATACCAGACAGCGAAAAATGATGAGGTGAATATACAAGCTGCTATTTTGACTTGCAAATCACCATCATGCTTGAGATAGACAGACCTGCCGTGGGCGTTAACTGTAGTCACAGGCTTGCCTGCAGCTTTCGGGTGTGACCATCTCAGAGGGTGAAGCAGCAATAAGCTTGAAATGATTCAACTCAGCTGGTTTCCAATCTGATCTAACTGATGATCCATTCAGAACCCCACGTCCAAACCCATTCCTGGGGCCCTATCACATCCAAATGAGGATCAAACGAATCCGAATGAAAAAAATGAACACGAACGATCCTAAGCCTGGCACGAAGCACTCAGAAGAGAGATCAGCTCCCGGACTCGACAAACAGCAGCAAATACGCCGCATTGCCGTATCTGCAAACGAACGGGAAAACACACACACACAAAAAACAAAAAAGAAAGACAGTGCTTTCAGAGTAGATGGCAGCACAACTTGTCAAGATGTCAGTGGGTTTACCAGGTGGGAAGACCTCCCTCTTGCTTGTTTCCTGGGACTCCCGGCTGGTCCCTGCGCAGGTACTCGCCGCGGAATATTGGAAGCACACCGGCGGCACGTAGAGCGTGTTGGGATCCACGAAATAGGTCCCCGGTTGTGCGTCCAGCCATTCCCTGGCGCCGTCGCGCATCGCGTTTGTCCCCGCACCAAAAAGGTCGCGCTGCGCGACGTCGCGCGAAGGTGTGAGGGCCTTCTTGAACCAAAAGCAACGTGTGTATGTTCTAGTGACTATACGCCATGCTCAGTTGAAACCTACAAAACGGAAAAAGGTGAAACGGTCCACTTCTATGTTGCTTGCTGTAAGTGATGGTATCGATGCTCTCTTTGTAATCCGTGCAAACCTGTGTTCAAAATCAAAGAACTCCTTCTTTCACAGTGAAAGTTGGTGCTTGCTCTGCCGCAAGCCCATCTGCCCCCTTCTAAAGTGATGGTGGACATGTGCATCAGGGTGCTCAAGTCACAGAAGTCAGCTTTGGGTCTGGTCGCGCCGGGAAGAACTAACTCTCTCAGCTGCCAACTAGTAGCGTCCGTATGTTCCTAGTAAGGCCCTCGTCTTCGCCCCTAGGCCAAGTGCCCGTCTGCCGGTGAGACATGGGAACAACGGCCCGCCCCAGAACGACACGATGCGCGAGGGCTGGGTCCAAGCCGCTCCAGGTTTTGATAGGAGTCACACGTGGCATACTCTGCAGGGATTTGCCCTGCAGTCACCAGCTCCGCAAAGACCTGAAGCATTCTCCGAGGCGAGCCATCGAAGAGGAGCCAGAGCCATCGGAGGACGGACGGGCGATGTGGACTGACGGGGTGCTGGTAGACCACCAATCAACGACAAAACCATTGAAGTATAGAGAGAGAGAGGAGAGAGAAGAGAGAGAGAGAGAGAGAGAAATCATGAAAAAAATCCTTTTGAACATACATACATAGGTGCTTCCAACCCACCCTATGCAAATACATCATCTACGGAGCAGCACAAAATCGCTCCGGCGACACAGCTGCCATAGCAAAAAGGGCCTTCCAAGCAAATGGGGCCACCGTCCGCTTTTCTGTGCCACCGAGTTGAGAGTGCCACCTGGCAAGCCCTGTGTGACCTGTGCGACCTCCATGTCACCAAAACCACCGACCTCCAAAGGGGTTCCGACCCGGTTCCACAGGTCGGGTGTCCTGCGGCCGACGAACACGTGATCCTTTGAGTTCCCTCTGGATGTCGGACGGGTCGGACGGGTCCAGGAGAGACGATGACAGGAAGGAAACGAGACGTCTTGCTATCGGTCTTTTGATCAAAAAAACACCTTTAAGCAAAGCGCCCCAACGCCTACGTGTGTCCAGCCAAGGCACATAGTCAAACTCGAAGTTGCTGTTCAGTTGTTGGTTTCCAGTGGCAGAGCATGTGAGTCCACCCGCATCAGAACACACAGTTGTACATGAGACACCTCAGCTGTCGCGATCTGAACCCATCGCGGCTTGGCAGATCGTGACCGTCGCAGTATGTCCTCCATTCCGATTCCTCCCCTGCTCAAATGGTACACCGCTGACTGGTCTGTCAAACAAGGTCCCACATCGTCATTGTTCATCCGCCTTACTCTCACCGTCATCAGCCTGAAGTCCGTTACCCTACCGTGCTCCCTACTCTCGCGCGCAACATATAATGGACCGCCAAGACACCTTGGGCTCCCAGCTCCCAGCCTGCCTGCGCGCAAGGCAGAAGCCTCAGAACTCGGTGAATGTTGATGGGATCACCTTCCAGCAACAAAAAGTCGGAAACATTTTTTGGAACTCCATAGGAGTACCACCACTTTTCTTCTACCATCCTGCTGGTTTGCTTCACAGGATTATGGCAATCAGGGGCCGTCATCGATCCTCGGCGTTCAGCCGTCATCGCTCAGCGAAAAAGACCATCGATCCAACTCATCTGGCTCAACTCATGCCACCGCGGCACCAAGCCGCCCATAGCACCAAAGCCGCCCAAGGCGGCCTCAGTGTTAGTGCCACCATGGCATTCTCACAGGTCTTTTGCTTGAGCCACAGAGGAACAAGCGAAACTGCAAGTCTTGACTTTCTTGTGGTTGTTGAAACTCCAGAAGACCCGTGAAACGCATGTTGCAGGTTGTTGAGACGTTTGGTTGATGGAAGAATACTGCCTTGCTTGGAACCCAGACAGGCTAGGAGATTGTGCCAGCTCGGAGATTCACCATCCCAACTGGCGCAGTGCAGGACTTCTTGCATCAACTGTCATTGAGACAAAGCGTCCCTTGGTGAAGGTCCACCACACCACAACGGCCTTGATCATGCCTACATCAAAGAACTTGGGACAATCACATGAAATTAACCGACAACTCTTGATCAACACAATGATCAACAAGCCATTGAATCTGGTGTTGGTTGAGTTGGCTGAAACCTCAACTTGAGACTCCTGAAAACATACCAAATTGTGATGTTATGCTGTATGACGATAATAAGCAATGACAAGAAGTACCAAAAACAACATCTGGCAAACCCCGGTGTCATGCCTCTTCATTGACCCAAGCAATTAGAGTGGTCAACACCCCTTTTCGCATCTGTTGCTGAAGCGGTCGCGTCTCGCAACGTTTCAGCGGTGAAACAGGAAGCTTCCTTCGATCGATCGGCTCCCAAGAGTCATTGACTATCATGGGCTGTTTGCTCCACACGCCTTTGCAAAGCTCACACATCGCCTTTGGCACAAGTGACACCTTCAAAAGTTTGTTCAGGGTGCAAACCCGCCTTTGGTGGGATTTGGGTCTTGGCACGTTCGCAACCTCTTCGTTTGACCTCAAAAACCTCGCGATCGAAGGTTGCAGGACACGAACTTACCTCAACCAACCTGCTCCGAAGCCATCGAGTCGACTTCGAGAAGCTCCGTCAGGTTCCCTCAGCTTCTTCGAGCCGAAGCGTCGCAGTTCGGCATCTTGGCCTGCCAAGGGCTCTGCCAAAGGCAATCTTGCGGACCAGAAACACCTCTCAAGGCTGGGTCTTGTGACTGGATATCTTTCAGGAAAGCGGTGAGGAAATGAGAGGAAGCATTGGATGACGCAAAAAAGGATGCCTTTCTGGCTGCTCGTGGCCTGCCCCTGTTCTGCCACCCCCCCGGCTGCTCGGCCTCGCAGACCTGCACAGGCCTCAGTCGGTCGCCGGCTCTTCGACACCGGCGTCACCGACCGGATGGTTCACCCTCGACCGGAAGACCTGTTCGATGAGAACGAGTCCCGTGGGGCGGTTGACCTGCAAGGATGGTCTTTGTACCGGTCTTCCATGGGGGACTTCCTTTTTTAACGAACACTTCACACCTACATTGGCCCATCATGGGTCCTTGTCCTACCTGGTCCTACCTCTTTGACAAGGAAACTTTGCTCCTTCGATGTTCGTTCAGTTGTGACTGGCACCTCAAGTTAGTTGAGACCAAGCCGGCTGCTACCCCCTCTCCAGTAAGGGGAAGTGAATGGTGCATCACCTGATTTTGGGGTATGTAAGAAAGTCCCCCAATCACCTGATTTGGAGATTGATCGAACATATATACAGTAGTTCCCTTCAGTTCGCCAACCCGAAACCACTCACATGCCGCATGTTTTGGCACGAAAACCCTGCAGAAGAAGACCTTCTGAACAAGGTGCTGGTCCATCAAATTCTTCTACTCATGATGGATGATGTTCCATGAGTTTTCCCATGTCACTGCACGGTCCATTCGTGAGCAACACCCTTCTCGCCACCTCCGTCTCCCCTTCGCTGAAGCCTCCCGGTCCATCCGGGGTCCCTCACTCAGGAGGCTGAAGCCTTGGATGGTTACACTCAGTGTCTCTTCTGCTTTTGGGGATCTTCATCTTGACGGGGTGCCATGGCATCGGTCGAGTCACCCCATGACAAACTCCGGGGATCTTCATCTAGCCACCCTACCACTACCACCCAATCCTGGTTCACACTGTCACACGGTCCAACTGGATTCGAATGACTCTTGTTCCCGAACATGGCGTACCCCGGGCGTTGTTTCTGGACTTTCAGGCCACGAATCGATCACCCTTTCGTCCGGGGACGCGTCCTGCAGTCCTGCACGCGTTGCTTTACCTTCGTGGCACCACCCCTGGTGGTAGCTATTTGTGACTGTCACGTTGGACTGGAAAAAGAAGTGTGGAGCTCTTTGGAATCACTGACCACAATGAATCCTTAATAAGTGCTGTATCACCTGGTGTGGCGGTATGACATACTCGGCTGTATATGTAATATAAGTTGGGCAGAAACTCTGGTTCCAAGCCTCATTTTCCAGGCACTTCATCCAAGGCATCCAGAATCTCTCTTGCCATCCTCCCTCACTGGAAAGAAATACAAACAGACAGGCGACAGACAGACGACAGACAGACAGCGGGCCAGACAGACAGACAGCCAGCCAGCCAGCCAGCCAGGCAAACAAACAAAACAAACAAACCAACCCCCCCTGCAGTGCCGTGCGGCATAGCAGTGACCAGAGGCGAGCGTGGCTTGATGTCCCAAATCTCGGGAAGAATGCCTCGTGTTTCGACACCGCAACCACTCGCGTCCTCTCGGTGCCAACCACTCGCGTCGTTCGGTTCGGGGGGGGGTGACAGGATCAGCTGGAGCTCAGATCAGCTCGAGATCAGCTGGAGCTTCAGTCACCGTGTACTGGAACACACACCGCTTGCTCGGTCCATTCCACCAGTGGAGGACACACGTCGAATCGGTCCCCACCCCAAAGGTCCGCCTTCGTTGATGGCACCAGGCGTTGTCTTCGAGGTTTTCTGCCAAGGTCCATAGAGTCCCAGGAGAGGTTGAACTGTCTTTTTGTTTGCCCATCTCATATGTACTACAGGGTCCCTGTAAGGCCCTGTAAGGCTGTTCAACCTCTCTTGGTCATTTCCCGTGCCACAAAAGTCGGAAACATTCCGAGGATCTCCCGGTCGACAACTGGTCGATAAGACAACGCAACAACTGGAAAGAAAACAGCTGGATGTGTCTCGGGTGCCTTCGCAGCGCCAGTCTACTTGGTACTCCCCCGGAAACCCCCAAACTCCGGATCCCCACCTCTGCATGCCAAGCGACCTGAAAAGGTTTGGGGACGAAGCGCCTCCATCACGATGAAATCCTGGGAGGTGCCAGATTTCCAGCACTCCGCTGGAAATCTGCCGTAAGAAAGGACGCTGTTTCTGCTTCCGGACCTTCCCACTCAAGGACTGCCGAACGTCTCAATCCGAAAAGAAATCAGGGAGAGGCCACTCTCCACCTCCACTGATTAAGAGAAAAACACTTTGATTAAGAGAAAACCTCGAAGGAAGGACCACATCAAGCTTTTGGCCGCACAATCACTGGGATTCGCATCGTCAATAGCCTTCTGCATCGTCACTCTGTGTCTATCACTGTGTCTCTTGACCGAAGGAAGCGGTGCGTGGTCTGGAATGCGGCAGCAAGGAGCCTTTGACCCCGACTTTTGGCTGGACCTGCTGGAATATCTCCGGCCACACGCGCCGGCCTCTCAACCTCCGGAAGCCATTTCTTGAGTAAATAGTCCTCCACATGTTCGATGTCCGCATCTGCAAGAATGTCATCAAAAACGAGAACTTCAGAGATGCAGCCCTTGAATTGATGAATGTCCTTCCGGTCCATTCCAATGCGATTGGCCCATCCAGGGCGTAGCTTGAAAGATTCCCCGCACTTGAAACTGGCCACTTGCATCTCTGTCCAATAAGGATTCTGTCGTCTTTTGCCAACTTCCTCCCACGCACCCCCATTCAGCCGGTACATGCCAGATTTGGGAGACGGGTGAACCCATGATCCATGCCCAGAAATCAGAGCTCCTTCCGACCACTCATCGCCGTGGAAAGGGCCTTGCTCTTGCCCCGTGAAAAGGTAAAATTGCTTTGTGTGGCGTGCGTCTGTGATCTTCTCGAACGCATGCACCGAGATGATCGTTCCAATCTTCTCCAACGGGTACTTCATCTCCATTGACCGAAACTTGCTGAATTGCACTGAGGGCTTGCCACCGTGAAACTCGACCGTCGGACTCTTGGATTCAGATAAAAGGTAGTGAGTCTCCAGCCCTGGCCCTCGAAATTTGCTGCGCCACGCTAGCAGCCCTCCATCCGAGTTGTTCCGCAGCAGGGTGCCTTCGCAGCTGGCATCGAGCCATAGAACCAGGCCAGGCAGCACGCGTGGCAGGAGAAGCTCGGCGCCTAAGGTTTCAGCATGGCGGCTCAAATCGAAGAGACAATCTGATGCAGCAAGATCAACCTCGCGAACTGGTCGGTTGTTAAACTGATCCTCCACGGTTTGCACCAGCGGTTTCACTTCCTGGCAAACCTTCGCTCTGACCACCTGCGGCCAAACTTGGCCCACCAAGCCAATGGTCAGCTGCTCTGTATTCACAGTGCTCTCAAAAACCTTGCACATCACCATGATATCACACTTGCTGAGGCCAAAATCGACAAACCTGAGGGTGACATTCTTGGCTAGGGGCTCAGCCAAAACCTCAGGGTCGACGGCATTCAAGTCATCGAAGGTCAGCTCCTCCAGTGTGGTGTTGTTGGGCCCGATGCATCGACCAATCTGTCTGAGCTGAAGTGCGTTCAGCGGGCCCATGGTGTCGTAGCCCACAGCGTGCCGCTTCCCAAGCAATGTCACAAAGGGTGCTGAGTAACCAAGTGGCCCAGCAACTAGCTCTTGCAAGTAGGAGCACAAGCCAAGTTCTACGTTTTTTGCGTCGCCCGACAGTTGAAAAATTTTGTAGCATATGTTGAAGATCGATGGGAGACAAGAGGACAATATCACAGCCTCAAATCCCGCAGTCTCATATCCTAAACCTGCAGGTAAGCTGGTGATTCGAGCATACATGTACAATTGGAAAGCAGACTGCCCAAATCCTTCTACAAAGGTCTCGACCAATGGTGATAGACGCTCCAAAGTGCCAAACAAGTCTGGATCTGTGGGGCTAACCCACGGATAGCAGACCAACAAATACACATCGATTAGTGTGAGCATGAAAGGACCGAACAAAACCAAGCGGAAGTGGCCCCAGCCCATCTT